AGCTCCTCCGCCAGCTCTCTCAGCACTCTCGGGTGGATCCCATCCGGCCCCATAGACTTGTGAGTATCCAGATGACGTAGCAGGTCGTTGACCGCTTCCTCTTGGATTATGGGGGGTTCATCCTGCTCGCCATCCCTGTTTTCCAGCTCAGGGCGCCGAGTACCCTGAGGATAACTGGTCTGCCTGTTAAAGACTGAGGCAAAGAAGGCATTAAGTACCTCAGCCTTTTCTTCATCCTCGGTGACAATGTTCTCCCCCGCATCCAATAAAGGATGGAGATTCTCCCTGGCTCTCTTCTTGTCATTAATGTATTTGTAAAAACTTTTTTTGTTGTCTTTAACGACAGCGGCCAGGTTGCGTTCTAGCTGGGCTTTTGCCTTTCTCATTTCTTCTCTGCACGACCTAACGAGATCCCTGTACTCTTCTTGAGTCGCCTGCCCCTTCTTCCACAAGCGATAAACTCTCCTTTTTTTCCTGAGTCCCAGCAAAAGCTCCCCGTTCAGCCAGGCCGGTCGTCTGCCCCGCCCGTTCCTCTTGCGGCGTACAGGGACAGCCTGCTCCTGCGCCTTTAAGACTTCCTTCTTGAAGATCGTCCAGCCTTCCTGGACCCCTTTGCCCTTCAGGATGGTCTCCCAAGGGACTCTTCAACCAGTGTCCTGAACAGGCCAAAGTCCGCCCTCCGGAAGTCCATGGTTGCAGTTTTGCTGCCTCCCCTCCTTACTTCACCAAGAATTGAGAATTCTACCATTTCATGGTCGCTAAGCCCAAGACGGCCTCCGACCACCACAGTTATACTGTTTCTATTCCCTTCCAAATAATGTGCTTCTGGTGGAAGCTGCAAAGGACGTAAATAATATCACACAACATCAAAAAAAGCCAAGGTATGGCCTTAATGTGCTTCAAAAAAATGATACTTATAAAATGTATCAGCAAGCACTCTTTAATAACTTTTTTCTTTAAAGACAGAAGCCTTCCCCCAACACGGGGCAAGGTTGATTAAGTTGCTTGTACAGCAGCTATCAAATTGCTGACAGACAGCATGGCTTTTAAGAATACCAGAAAAAAAACAGGCCCTATTTAGTTTAATATGCCATAAAACATGAGCTGAACCACTGGAATTTGTGAGGCTTTAAAGGTCCCATTAGCACAGAATTTCAACCTAAGAGGAGGGAAGGGACCAGTAGAGCCCTTCCCATTCACGGTAAACACTGAGATGTTTCTACCCCTGTCTGCAGATGCCTGTTCCTAGAACGTACCACAACAGAGAAAGAACTTAAGTCATTCCAGGTGATTCATGTGAGCTCTCTAAACACATCTACCCAGTTTACGGCCTGAAAGGATGCTAGAAGTCCAAAATAACACCGATATGATCCTCTAACCAGCTATTCAAGTAGCAAGTGCTACTTGATATACATATACAAATAAGGAATATGGATTAAAACATTGGCAGAATGCATATATAGCTAAGAAAAAAATTACATAGAAATAACACATTGCAAAGCTGGAAAATAACTTTTCTCCCCTTCTCATCCTTTCTCCTCCCAGGAAAGCGGGAATGAACTCCATGACTCAGTACCCCCGATTTCTGCAGTCTCACTTACATCCACAGTACAAAGCAGGCATACTGCAGATACTTAAGAGTGGGGCCATGACTATTACCTAATTGCTTTTAGCCCTGCATCTGGGCAAGCCAGATCGCCAAAATTCATATTAACCCAAGGCAAACTTTCATTTCTTTCACGACCTCAGTGTCTTTTATGGCAAAAAAAATTCATAGGAACTAGGTAATTGTCGTGGTTTAGCCTCAGTCGGCAACTAAGCACCACGCAGCCGCTTGCTCACTCCCCCCCCTCCCGATGGGATGGGGGAGAGAATTGGAAGAGCACAAGTGAGAAAAACTCGTGGGTTGAGATAAAAACAGTTTAATAATTGAAATAAAATGATAATGATAATAATAATAATAATAATACACAAAGCAAGTGATGCACAGTAAAATTGCTCACCACCCGCCGACTGATGCTCAGCCAGTCCCCGAGCAGCGGCCCCCCCGGCCAGCTTCCCCCAGTTTATGTACTGAGCATGACGTCACATGGTATGGAATGTCCCTTTGGCCAGTTTGGCTGTGCCCCCTCCCAGCTTCTTGTGCACCTCCAGCCTTCTCAGTCAGTAGAGCATGGGAAACTAGAAAGTCCTTGGCTAGTGTAAGCACTGCTTAGCAACAACTAAAACATCGGTGCCTTATCAACTTTGTTCTCATCCTAAATCCAAAACACAGCACTGTACCAGCTACTAGGAAGGAAATTAACTCTATCCCTGCCAAAACCAGGACACTAATTATGGATCTATTTAAACTATTTTGAGGCTGAGATGTTCCACAACTGGTTTTGACCTAAAGAGGATCCTTTAGGTTAGAGAAATATCTCTGGATTCAAACTTGAAGAAGCTTTAATACTGTCATCATCACTTCTAAAATAAATTCTAAGGAGATTTATTAGAAGCACACCATATTGATAGTGTTCCACCCTGTGCACATCAGTATGAAAAGTTGCTTCATCTTCTGGTTTAATGGGAAGACAGTACAATTTCCCTGTAGCCTGGAACTTCTTAGATAGTTATTATAGTTATTATCATAGAAGACTAGTAGAAAAGCAATGTATTTCTAATGTGCTCTACTTACTATACAGGCAGCACAAAGGTGTGGGAGCACCATTCTGTATCACCTTCTGATATTTTTGTCCACTGAATTCTACAAAAAGTTTTATCCAAAGATTAAACTTAACTTTAGAATTCATTTCCTTCATCAGTATTCATGATTTTTATTTACTTTTATTAAAAATGTATGTAGTAAAATTTCATTGGCATTCGTACCAAGAACTGGTTTCTAAGACTTAGCTTCATCTAATGAAGATTAAAGACATTACGTGGGAGAGCAAATTGTCCATGATCTCAGAATAATAAAAAAAAGATTAAAAAAAACCTGAAAGCTACGCTTTCTTATAATTAATTTTAAGAGAAAGAGGAAAGGATTTGAGAAAATACATTCCTGGGAGTTTTTCACCACTGGACTCCCTTCTCAAGTACAATCTCCCACACTCGAGTAAAAACTATGACTTATATTTCAGTAACACAAATGGTTTGTCAGACGAAGCAAATATGAAAAGAACCATACAGAATAGCAAGACAAACCTAGTACCAGATAAGAATAGAACTGCAAAAAGCTGAGTTGCAGAGTAACCACCTGAACTTTCCAAGAGCACAAAACTGAGACAGTGAAAGCTACAACCTAGAAGAAGACATACCAAGTGTTTCTGACTATTATACATAATTTATCTTTGCTGGAAATCAGAAGCTTATATCAAAAGTGAATATGCACACTTGAAATAAAAATTAAGACCACCGTTGACTACTAATAAAGACACTGAAAAAACAATCTCCATAATTTACAGAGTACAAAAAAATGCATAGGCAATCCCACTCACCTGTCTTCACTAAAACGTCGACCAACCAAAATTTTACATTTGTCTGGAGGAAGACAAGCTGCTAGCAAAGGTACTGTCCTTAGTACTCGACTTTCCTGTAAAAAAGAAAAGTTACTTTTTAATAAAAACAAGAAGGGCTTCTATGAATTGTTAATGTTTCCATTTGTTTTCAAGTTCTGTTGACTACAGACACAGAAAAAAATCTTACCAGATAACAGAAAAAAAAAAAAGATCTACAAGCAAAAATACCCAATTTTAATGCATTCAAATCATATTGTTTTGATTGACAGTATAAAACTTAGTTTTAACTAACCTGTGGTTATCAGCATAAATTTGAGCTAGGCTATCAGTATCAAAAACAATGATGAAACTTCACAGAATAATAAACAGTAGGCAAAAACCAGCATTAGCATTAACGTAATAGGTTGGGGAGCTAACGTCTCTATATTGGAAAATGAGGGGAGGGCTTGATTTCCACAAACAGGTGCTAAAAATAAAAGCACTGGGTGTATCAGAACAGACAGTGTGAAATACAAACATCTCCACTCTGCTGTCACTTTACAGTAACCAGGACAATGGCACCAACACTGCCATGAGTACTCTGTCTCGTGCCATCCAGGCTTTGTTGACGAGGCATCTGCCTACATCTTTGTGCCACAGATGAGGAAGGTGACTGCCATGCCTGGGTGGGGAGCAGGGGCTCTTCAGATCTCAAAGAGCATTAGAGAGCCGTGTTGGAGCAGGGCTTCAGAAAGTGGAGGAAGAGGGAAGTACTGCCAGCAGAAGCAAACCATCTACTTATTAAAAACAGCAATGTGTTTCTGTCCTTTATTTAACACAGCTGGGAACACACTAGTTTTTGTCTAGACAAGTATTGCAAACTGAGCTTGAATATTCAGGATGTCAATTTTTGTTTTCCCATCAAGGAAGAGGGAGCATAGGTTTATCTTCCATTTAATGAAGACAGCAAGCCAACACTGAAAACTGAATGAAAGTTTCAGTTTATTTATTTATCACCAGAGGAACAAAGGAAGGTTATTAGCTGAATCTAGCAGGAGGCAAGACACTAGAGGTCAGGTGAGGATTACAAAAGCCCTAAACCCAGTAAGAAATGAGTTCTTACAAATTCTCAACTTGAATGTCTTATGATTCAGACAATGAAAATCCAAAGATCAGTCCCTAAACCACAGGATTAATTAATGAAAACCCGGGGGGGGTTGGTCCATCTTTTGATTTATAAGCCGTATATCAACAATTCAGTATTTGTGAACACGTAAGGCCTTGATTAGCTCTCTCAGTTCTCGCTGGGTGGCTGTTACCTTCCACAAGTATCAATGTGCAGCTGCCTGCGGCTCTCACATTGTCTTGCTACCAAACTGCTGTTAAATTAGTTCTGTGAAGACTTTTATCACTGTTGCCTAAAACCTTTATTAATTTTGCTTTTTCTGATCCATATCTACTGATCCTCTATAAATAAAACATCATGGAGTTGAAAGAATAAGTTGTCTTGCTACATTCACCACCACTTTGCACGGCAGCAGCAGCATGATGTCTCCTAGGGATAGATGACGATCAAAGTACCTGGGGAGTGAAGTGCTAGCAAGGGGAGGGAGAAATATCCTTCAGACTATCATTGATTTCTTCTATCTCAGCAAAGCGGAATAAGCTATCAGTGGTGGTACAGTATTATTTGTCTTTATTTCATCATAATTAAATAACACTCCAATTCAATAGTCAGAGGACTCCCTTCTTCATAAGAATGTAAGAAGTGGCAATAAAGGAACTGGAAGAAAATCAATTATTTGTCTCTGATAAGCAAAACCAAAAGAGCTATCATCAGTCAAGGGAAAGTCATTCAACTGTTCCCTCCAATGTCATATCATTACTTCAGAATTACCTTTCATATCAAATAAATACATTCTCTTACCAACAGGGAAAATGGAATTTTCCAATCTAAAAACCAATCCATGTTTACAGGAAGATAAAACATAAAAATTCAAAGCTGAAAGGAATTATTTGAGAACAGAAGCTTAAGAACAGCTAAGCCAAACCAACATTAAAAAAGGTTTCATTTGTTTATCATTTTCTTCATTAAAAACCATTTGTATTTAACTAGACTATATATAACCCTTTTGTTATCATAGCAGCTATTTTCCATTTACTGGTTCCAAAGTGAGAAGTTACTCTCTCCTTTGTTCTTCTCAGTGTTCTAATAGTGATTTGCAACTCTTTGTTTATTCATTATTTGACCATTGAAATACATAAACAGAAATAGGATTGGAGGACTTAGGTGGCGGGTTGACCCTGGTTGGCTTCCAGGTGCCCACCAAGCCGCTCCATCACTCCCCCTCCACAGCAGGATGGGGGGGAGAAAATAAGATGAAAATGAACTCGTGGGTCGAGATAAAGGCAGTTTAATAAAGAAAAGCAAAGGCCGTGTGCAGAAGCAAAGGAAAACAAAAAGATTTTATTCTCTACTTCCCATCAGCAGGCAATGTACAGCCACTTCCTGGCAAGCAGGGCCTCAACACATGTAGCTGTTGCTCCAGAAGACAAACACCTTAATAACAAATGCCGCCTCCCCTCCCCACCTTTTAGTGCATTATATGGTATGGAATACCCCTTTGGTAAGCTTGGGTCAGCTGTTCTGTCTATGCCCCCTCCCAATCTCTTGCCTACCTCCAGGCTACTGGCCATTAGAGGCGGGGGTTGGAGGGACAGCCCTGGTGCTGTGGGAGCACCACTCAGCAGTAGCCTAAACACTGGTGTGTTATTAACATTGTTCTAGCCACAAATACAAAGCACAGCACTATGAAGACTGCTATAGGGAAAGTTAACTCCATCCCAGCCAGACCCAATACAACTTACTTTTGCATTTGTTTTTCTTTTCTGGGAATTAGTGGTACTTTGGTTAGCATAGCACTACCCATCTACAATGAACAGGACAGTTCTAAGTTCTAACTAATAAAAATATTTATTAAAACCAGCAGATAGATATTTCCTCCATTTTTGTTTATGAATTGTTAGGACAATTAGCAAAAATTTTCCCCTTATATTTGATTCTTACTGTTCAATAAGGAATACTGTACAGAAGAAGTATTATAATGAGCAAGTCAAAGCTAATTACTGGCATTAGATCAATATATAAATTAATTAAATATACACAATCTTAAGTTTTCTTCTCAGATGCTTAACATTGACAAATCTTACACTTACAGAAAGAAAGAAGGCAGGGAAGCAGAACAACCTAAACAGATAGCCTCTGCATTGCTTTAAGGGTTCTGCCCTGAGCTATACTTATCACTCAGGTTTTGAAAAAGTACATAATGGCCTACATTCTGCTGGAGATCACTCCAAGGATGATAAAAGGCAAAGGTAAGACAAATGTCTTTTGTATACCTAGCTATGCCCACTGACCTGACATAAGGTTCATAACAGTAGGCACAAGAAGGGAAAAATGACAGAATTATGTTATTTACTTTTATATATATATATATATATGCAAAGAAGAAAAATAAATTAGGCTAGGCAAATAACTCCTTCACCTTTCCACTAGTCCTGATGCTGGGTTTGGGATACTGGGTTTCTATATACTTTATTTTTAAATTACTCTCATTATGAACAATGGTACACCAACCCTATTCAGAAAACAAGTATTTACCCCTTGACATGGAATGCTGAATTCTCTTCGAATTCCTTCACAAATAAAAATCTAATTAATTCATGGACCTATTATGCAAAATGGAAGCTGGATGGTAGGATTCCTCACCTGGGATCCACTGCTCTGCAAGAAGTGATTCCTCTCTCTCACAGTACCTGATACCTGCTGCCAGATATGGCAGCGTGGCCTCTATAGTAAGAATGTGGAGACATAGTCACATTAATCAGAGCACAGGAAATGTTGCTCCTGACTTCCTACATTACTACCTCGCCTGAATACAAGTCTCAATAGCATCATTTCACCATAGTTGGCGGCTTACTTAGCTGCACTGCGGACTTCCAAAGCCAATAAATAATGAAGCACATGGAGGATATAGTTGGCACTGATGTGCAGTAGGGGAAAGACATTCACTATCTGGTTAGTTTAATGAGATATTTTTGAAACGGACTCTTAAGAATGTATCTGTAATGAAATGGCAGACTGAAGGATCAGATACAGTCCAGAAGGCTTATCTGCCTTCAAGACTGATTGTATTTTGAGTATGAGCAGCTACAGCAAAGGTATCTTTTGTCAGGCATGCCTCTGCTGTTCTAGAGTCAAAAGCATCACCTGTGATCATCTAAGACAAACACTTTCAAAGATCACTGTAAGATATTCTTAGCTTCCCACCATTTGTTTGGATTTATCTCTGATAAGCCAAGTGCCCTCATATAGTCAGACAGTTAAATTTTTCCTCTCAGATGGATTGTCTTCAAATACAGTGGTCTTCCAATACTAGTTTATCATGTGAACTATCATTACATAGCATACACTAATGGTAAAGTTGCATCCCATTGTAACAGACAGTTGTTGTGATTGCTGGTTAATAAAAAGTGTAGATAGTCTTTCAGAAGGACACAGGAATGGTGTATGAAATCTAAAAAGAATCTGCAAAGTTTTTCTAATAACTTCCACCATGAATAAGAAATTCAACACAATTCAAATGCCAGTTCAAAGTTCTCTGGCACATTTCCAAAGCTCTTTTTTCCAGCAAGTGACTTCAGCATACACTTAAGTACTTTTGAAATAAGAAGTAACACAAAACAGTATTCTTTTTATAAGTAGCCAATTAAAAATCACAGCTTTCCCATTTAGGGACCAAATACGTCATGGCTTCTGTTTTGTTTCTCTGTGAAAGAACACTTATCTCTTAACTTGCTCTTTTACATTCTGCTTAAGTTCCCTCAGGCAAAGACTCTCCGCGTGCTGATGAGCTACTGTATAATGCTAAGTAAATAGCTGGACCAGAAGAGTACAGGTTTCTGAACTTCACAGTCTACTTTGTAGACCCACCATCTATCCAGATCTGTGTAACTGCAATCCAACTTCTAAAACCCTTATGATCCACCACCATACTGCATTGTTAACAGACAAGAAAACATCAACATAAATTCTCCTGTTAGGTAAACCAAAACATACTGTTCTGAAGCTAAACTATAGTTTTTTCACTGGCTAAACAGCTAAGGTCATCACTAAGATTAATTGCTTAATTCATATTTTTAACAGAACACTAACATCAGTAAAAGACCACTGCTATAATCAAAACACATTCCCCCCTGGATCAACTCTGAGCACCTCTGTGAGACACCATGTCAAGATTAATGCTTGTAATTTGTACCGAGGCAAGTAGACTTCAGATTCTAGCAGGACTATTCAGATAAGAAAAGATGTCTCGCGTGCATGGAAGTTGGAGAAATGAGGTGTGATTTCAGAAGATAAAATAATTCAGAAGAACTGAATAAAACATAACAATAACTCAGGTGAACTGACATTTCAATCATCAAGTTTAAAAGGAAAAATCATTACATGATGTTAACAGCATAGCTGTTTCTTCTTGCCTACCATTTGCTGCATTAAGATTCTAGCTGAACTCCAACAATTACCACAGCCTTACTCACCTCTGCTGGATGCTGAATTATATACAAGCAGGTGGAGACCTTTAGCGGATGTATTGGCAGGAATGGACATAAACACACCTTCTGAGGACGGCTACATGACAGAAGGGAATGAGAGAACAATAAAAGTAATCAGCAATTTATGAAAGACGGCATAAATACATTGCACAAATAGCACATCCCAAGAGGCACACTAATAACTTCCCCTGATGACACAGTGTATTAAACCTGATGTAATTTTCTGTTTGAAACTCCTTCTGTTTCTAAAAATAAAGCAGCAAGGTTTTCATTGAAATAGAGTTTTGAGAACAGTGTTCAGACCCCTCCTGTGGTCTGGTTAGGATTAAAGCACTCTAAAAATCCTTTCATCATCTTCAAGAGGAGCAACTTACTAGTATCCATACCCCCATCAGAGAAGTCTGTTACTGCTTTTCATACCAAGTTAGTGTTTCAACAATTTGAAAAAATATTATAATAGAATATATAATGTTTATAATTGATATAATATTTATAATAGATTAATTACAATAGAAAATTTTAGAAGTATACACACATGAAACCCCAGATATGCTATATTTATGATTGGGTTCATTTTTTGTAATTCCATCTATGCTGAAAGATGTAGTAAACATGTAGTATGAAAACAAAAAATCTTTATCAGGAACTTCTAATTTAAGTCTGAAAAAAGAAAATAAAAATTATTTCAAATTCTTTGGTGTACTGCATGTAGCTGTTAAAATGACTAGCAGAAGAATTGTATCTAAAGAAATTAAATTAAATATTGCTTGGCATGAAACTAATATGCTGAATGATCAAGAATAAACAAGCAAAGAATTAAGCTCAAAGTTATACATAGAGTAACTGAAGTTGTTACACACATACACATACGCATGGGCACACACAGAAGTCACTATAGCTACTCGCATACATTATTCAATAACTCAGAAAAATTATGGATTTCCTTAACAGTGAAGCTACCACCAGTATTCATCACTTCAAATCATACCATCCCTGCAAACAAAGATCTCTGAGCTTAAAAAATATGAAGTCAGGATTTTCAGCAGAATGCTAGGGACTCGGAGCACAACTTCACTTGCATCCTCCTTGTAATCTTTATTAGTAACAGTTTATATGTTGGTCACACATGAGAGACGGTAAGCAATCACTGCAGTAGATGTAATTTACAGAAGTTAATTCTGAAGACAGATCCAGATCAAGCTCGTGGTGAGCCTGACTGACATCGCACTTGCTTGCCCACAAGAGCACACACCCAGCCAAGTGTACTAAGTAATGTTACAGTATACAGCCAGTATAACCGTTCCCCAGTCAAACATCAGTACTTACCAGTAAATGGTGGCATTATAAAAAGGCAATAACAATAGATAAGCTCCTCTTTAACAGTTGACAGGTTGTGTTAACTGAAACCCCCAACTTATAGCCCCAACTACTGAGACACAGAGACTATTCCCTTCTCTGTATGGTATACAGTTAAAGGTTACCCAACAACAGTCTAAATCCAAAGCAGTGGGGGGAGTGTTGATGCAAGGGAAGGAATTGGTACTGATCAAAATAAGCACTGGAAAAAGTATTTTAAAATATTTAGACTAAAAGGCCCATGGCCCAGAAATCAGCCTAAAGACAAAATGAAAATTATTCTCATACACTCTTGTGGTATACCGTTCCAGTGGCCTGCTGTCTGTCTTTCCTTTGCACTTCTAGTGCTGGCATTTTCCTGTCGCTAATCCTGCATAAATTTGGCATATTCTGTTGTATTAATGGACAGGCTTTGAGCCTAAAATTAAGTCCTCATTAATTTCACTATTCAGTGGGCTATTCTGGGCACCTTCATGGTGAATGAACTGAAACCAACCTCGCTTCCCGGTCTGGTGGGTCTAATTTCAGAAGTTCTCCAGCACTGTACCACTGCTTTTTTCCAATATTTTCTCATGTGTAACCAATTTAAACAGAAATTTCCGAAAACAGTTTTGTTTACAACCTGGAAGCAGCAAATACCCCTGGACGCTGTTTGTTGCCTATGCCCCAACTGTTAAGTACAAGCTCATCCTCTTTTTGATCATCAGATTTAGTGGAAACTCAATTTTGTACAAAGTGTGATTCCTTAGTTTCTCCCCATTATTAAATGGCTGGTTTCACTAACAAGAGAAGTTGTTAAAGTTCTCCCCATTATGGCATTTTCTACTGAGGAGAGATTAAGGCACGAAAATCTACTACACAGAGCTGTGCTAAAGCAGTTAGCTGGTGACTTCAATCCACAGAGCTGCACTGTTCACTAGCTTTTATAGGCAGACAGAAACAGTTTCCGGTGATTTCTGACCTCAGGGTGTTTAACTGTAACAAAGTTGGCTAGATAGAACTTGCTTATTTTCAAGTCTCCCTTTTGCATATGCTTTTTGTATTTTCCACACTGGCTTGGATTTTTAACGGGTAGTTTTTTAAACTTTGTTAACCTTGCCAAAAAAAAAAACCCAAATCCCTAACCAAAAAAAGGAAATTACCCAGAAAGCAAGCATTTTCAAAGTTACAGAATAAACTCTACCTGTAATTTGACTTATAGGGAACAGAGCACAAACCATGACAAATAAAATACTTTCCAATATAATTTAATTATTTACATATGTATATACATTACTTAACTTTAAGCACCCAATTAGGTACCTAATTATGTTGAATACATACTTTTACAACCCTATCCTGAGGGCACAAGGCTTATTTCTGTACTTTCACTTTGGTACTTAACGGTTATTGTGCCGAGACAAAAAAAAACCACATTATTCCTACATGAAACTGACATTACCAGCCTACATCAGTTGGATAGGAAGCGCTGCAGAACAAGACAAGTTCTGTTCCACCACCACAAAAGCCACCTTTGCTCTGAGAAAGGCCACCTAAGCAGAAAAGGCTTTTTGTCTTTTTCTTTTGTTTAAAGATTCTGCTGCAGTCTTGCCCCACATACACAGCTGATGTTACAGAAGAGTAGGGGCAGCACCAGGGAACTTACTTAATGATGAGCATCAGTTTTCTCCCATTTCTGGAAATGAAAAGTAGCAATCTGCTCCAGTAGTATTCAGAATATTACTGGATATTCTCAATACTACTACAGTAGCATTCAGAATATTAAGGAAAAGGTTTGTGGGTGGGGGTTAGGATTTGAAGGAGGATAATTTTTACAGTATATTCACCTGTATGCAATTTCACTATAGCTCAAAGCTATCCAGTGGGTTCTTACGTGTTTTTCAGTACAGCATTTCTAGTTTAAAAACTTATGCCAAAGTAACCTGTCACATTGGTGGGACTAAAAAAAAATAAAAAATAAAAAAATCATTGTGTGTCTTGCAAAAGTGCTCCATATGCAAAAGACAGCCATGCACATGCACAGACTTCTCATAGCTTTCCTTCCATTATTCACATCTAAATTAATGATGTTCAGATTCAGAAAAACATTTAGTCTATTTTCCCAGCAGAACTGAATCTGGACAGTGGACTGTGGTGTCATTACTAGTGTCTGGGCAGAGATACTCTAAAAGTGAATATGCAGCAGCCTGGAAAATAGTGAGCTAATTCTGAAACTCCTTCCAAGTCTCTGTATGATTCTCCTACAAATATAAATGTGCCTTACTTGCTTCAGGACTAACTTTGCCCTTGTTACAACATGTCCAAAGGGCTTCTGAAAACAGGCAGCATTCTGGGAATGCAAATTAGTGTACTCTTACACCCATATTCAGAAAACTAAAGGTAGGTAATTCAAGGACTTAAACCCAGAGTAAGCAAAGAATAACAATGTTACAATT